ATATACGGTCGTAAAAGCAATTATTTTATTCTAACCTTCCTCCTTCAAGGGTGTATCAAAATATATCAAGTTCAGTACCTCTAGAGTCATAAGCCGGGCTTTTGGGGCTTCAAAATAATAAAATAATCAACGCGTTATGGCAGGTCAATTTAATTATCGAGAGTCGATTAAATATAGATTCCTAAAATCGTATGGAAATTTTTAGATTCACTTGTGCTACATATACGGATTTATCGTTAAACTGATAATGTGTTCACAAACCTCCCTAAATTATGGAACTGATACGAATTTATCGTTCATAATCACGTATGAAATTCCGAAATTGTACCTTTATGAATTCAACAGAAAATATCCTAGAGGGTTAAAGTAACGGACTCTTAAAAACAGCTCTCGAATTCAAAAACTATAAACAATAATTATTTACGCTAGCCGTGTACTTATCAGCGTGCATGTGAGCTCAAATTCCCAAAACCCCGTTTCCTGGCGCACACTAATGGGGTATCCAAGTTACTCACGCAATCCACCTGCGCATTACCTTCTCCCTCGCCCTTCCATAACGTAACGGCTAAGATAGTGCCCGTGGTACAGTTGGCCGCGTATGTTAAAAGTAGCGCTTTGCAGGGTCGGTCGTAGGATTACGCATCGGTCTGATGGGTTACTACTATTTTGTATAATTATGGGGCTACGCTGCGCGGGAGAATTTAGATGCTTACCGCTGTTTGGGATTAAAGGGTTAACGCATAACAAGAGATCAAAATTAAGATCGTTTCACTTGAGGCAAGACAGATTGGTGAACTGAAGAATAATGAGTGAAAGTCAGATAGTGCTTTGTGCTTTCATGTAGATCGAAATAGATTCAGGGGTAGTCAGAAAAAAAATACGTTCTGTCGTTAGGAAATCAAATGAACTATTTGGAGGTTGAACTCTTAAAAGTGGTGATGACCTCGTTTTCTTTGATGGGGCAAATTTGTCGAGGTGGGGGACGAACTAGTCAGGGGAAAACATACTATGGGGCGTAATCTCCAGAGAACTTTTGGATGGTTTCTTTCAGGCGCCCCGAAAGCGTACGAAATATTATTCCCTATTATCCACTATTTTCCTCTTTTTTTACTGTCCACCTAAATCCTTCCATATAACGTATCAAAAGTATCAATGTAATTTAGCAGATGAAGCACAGCTGAATATAATTATATACACTGTAAAGCCATACGACGCGTCCTTTTCAATTTAGCTCACTTACCATTTGAGCCACCCGAAAACTTGATCCGAGCTATATGAATCTTGAGCTGAGTGCTTTCAGAAACTTTCCAGGGATTAATATGTAAAAATTCTAGCCCCGTCCTATTTCCTCTGGTTTGTTCAGCAACATAAAGAAAAAACCAAGAGATTATAAACTCCGTTGGCAAAAGCTAAAATATAATGACTACTGTCTGCGTCCGAAAAAATTATCAGTCGCCTTCGGCTTTTAGAGAGGTATCTGGGAAAGTAGAGTAGTCTTCTTTCCATAGCTTATATCGAATGCATTGGCAATATGTTTTTCTCTGGGAGATTATTTCGATCGCTGCGCAAGTAATTTTATCAAGTGTTACTCAACATGAGTATGCAAGGCGAAGGTTCTAACAGAAAAAAAATGCACAAACTGAGTCCACATTGAGTGGGATGATTGTCTGAATTTACTCTGACTACTTGCTCCATACAGCTTATGTACATTAATATTTACAATCTTTACATGCCGATGCAGCAACGTTTTATCCTTCACTTCCCGTAATCTTCTAGAAGGCAACTTTGAGAATGACAGCATCCTTTTTCTCTTTTTTCCATTGTGTTCCTTTTTCTCAATTCTCCTCATAATCAGGATTTTTCGGGCCCAAGGACATCCACACTACTAACATGGATAATAAGGGAGACACCAAGAATAAAGACGCATAGGATATTATGAACACCTTCTTTGAGGGTGTAGAGGTTCGCCGGTGATAAGGTATTATTGTTCAATTCTTTAACTGAGACGGAAATTGACGTTAGTTATCATGCATTTGTGTTATCATCCTCATTTTGATTGGCTACGAGCACACGGCTACCAATGGGGCATCAACAGAATACGACAGAGCGGAATCCGGCAAATTTTTATCCCCCCCTTCCCCATAAAATTTCCTGAAAATCTTCATAAGTATCCTTACTTGAACAAAGTGATGAAAAGGTTTTATTTGACTTCATCCATCTGTGGGAATCTTTCTTTAACAATATCCTATGGTATAATGATCTCAGACTGTTTCGTTTCATTGAAAAATAAAAACATTTAGGGGGTGACTATAAGCATAACGTTTGCGACTTTACGCGACAAAAAGATTCCTCACTTTTCTAATATTCCCAAATCAACTCTGTTCTAAATCAAAATATTTTTTCAAATAATTGGCAGCTGTAAAGTAACTTACGCCTAAGACCTGAGAGCTCTTTACTCCCATTATGTCACCGTATTATTTCCCCGCTTTTTTTTTACCGACAACTAGGAACTCTAAATTTACGAGCATTCCAGTTCGTCCCAAAATTTTTTCGTGGGAGGTGGATGGTACCCACATTTTGTCAAGAGTATAATTGAAATGATAAGTATAAATGATGTAAATAGAATAAGAAAGGTGGAAAATTTGTATGAATATCTCAAGATTTTGATTCAATCCCAAGTAAAGATGTTAAGGAAAGTTGTATCGTCGCAAACATCTCATTAACTTGGTTGACTTGCGTATCGATGACCGAGATGAACTGATATTAATTCATTTTCCACTTCAGCGTTTGAAATCTGCCAGTTGGAAATGGATCTATGTAAGTGGCATATTAATTATTTACATTAAATGAATAATTGAGCGGCGTCGTTATTTGGGTAAACAATATTGATTTGTAGATGTCACTATCAAAGGCTCCAACTCATTAATGACCCACTGCGCCTTGTAAGATATTGTAAGAACTGAACTTGACCTGAAAGCTGTAAATATCCTTCAAAGTCACAAGGATTCTGTATATCAAGTATGTTGAAAAGAGGCTCCTAAAGTTTTATTATCCTATATTGCTCAACAGAATATGGATTGTAATTGTGAAGTCTGATCGTCCGGGTTAGTGTAGTCCTGAGAAGGACTGTTGTCGGTAGTCCTGAGGACTACACTCACCCTGACGATCAAACTACACTATTACATGTTACTCCGGGGTTCAAACCAGCACCTACCAG